CCTCAAACTCCTCAAATTTTCTGTCTTAATTTATATTTTACATAGCATCCTAATGTTTTGAAGACTGGGGTTGTAAAAGTAAAATGATAAATTGATGATCATATATTGGTTGTCAATATAGTAACTCAGGTAAGTGGTGACCAAATATGTTTTTGCCAACAGATCCAGATCTGGTAGAGATATCACAATCTACACTGTAAAGCTAGCTAGTTAGTTCAGATCACACATGTCACTCCTGCATCATTAGAAAACGAGTTCAACAACAGGGTAGCTGCAATACCAAAAATGTCTGACTACACTCCAGAATTAGCTGAGGACAAAGTCCACTGAAAAACAAAACAAAATTACCTTAGGTCTACCTCAGCTTTTTAATAAATAAATGCACAACCTACACATAGTGAAGTTACTACATCACAATAACATGCTGTATTACAAGTGCATTGTAGAGACACATAGTCTTGGATGGTCCTTATAGTCCTCCAAGATCCATCCAAACTCAGTTAAAGAAGTAGAATCAGGTCAATATTCGCAGGGAAGGCAGTGGCTGCAGGTTCTTTAATTGGTCTAACCATTTTAACCTCCTTGATTCTCCCCCCCCCCAAAATAAAAAAAAACAAAAAACCTCAGGCGCCCTTGACCTCTGATTGGTCAGATCTTGGCAGTTCCAGTCAGAGTCCTAAAGCGAGCGCAGGTCTTCATTTGTCATGTCACATAAGTGACAGCAAGTTATTAAGTAGGTGTGAAGTACATGCAGGTGCAACAAAAAAGGTTTACCTTTGTACACAAAACATTTCAAAGGGTCAGATCCTGTAACAAAACATCCTGTTATAAATTTAAATCAGGAGTTGGACTTCAAAATCTGACTTTTAAACGTCACTATCAGCAGCAGTCTTCCAGGGGCAGACGCAGGGTAAACTGGGATATGGGGGAGACGAGAATCTCATTCCAGTCCAAAGGTGCTGGTCTCTTCCACAGCAGTCAGCAGCTTCTCATACAGCACTGAGAAAGATGGGTACGGTGGTAGGTCCAGCCGGTTGAAGCAGGTGTGAGCTCTGGAGAACAGACCATGTATTAAAGCACAGGCCACTGACAGGATACATAGAGAAGCTCAAATCTAAGAAAAATCAGGTTTTATTATCATAATTACTACAGTGCATGACCGAAATAAGTGCCTGGAAATGCAGAGAACTTTAATATTTAATATCATAGACACAGAAAAAACTAGGATTACCCCAGCAAACTAAATGTGGGGCACAAAGTTTGACTGTGTGAGAATATTACCATTTCTTCTTTTTGCATTAACATTTACAGACGTGACAGACAGACAAAAAACATGTCAACGTTAAGAAACTCAACTGAAAAGAGAGAAAAATAAACAAATTAAAAAACATATTGTTGCACCTGTATGTGCAATCATAGCATGTTTCTGTGAAGACTAAGTATCTTTCAAGTTCTTTTCTAGTATAGCACATGTATACATAATAATACATTTTTGATTAGAACCAGAAATCCTATCACTATTGTATCATATCAAAACTACCCCTACATGGAGAAAGAAGGAGAGCACCTCTGATTAAAAAAATATCACATTTTGACCACTAATTATCATTTTTATCAGTTAAATGTTTAAAGGAAAATTTCATTCTTTCCATTGCATGTATATGTTATACAGTCTCTATCCTATCTATCCTAACAATCTTCAATAGTCGGACATGTGATATGAAAAATCTTAAAATGCTCTTCCCAATTACTCCTTTGCATGTTTCTGAATTTGAGGTGTAGCAGCATTTCTTATACATATTAAGCCAGTCATGTTTATTTATTTTATATTTGCATCTTTCTCCCTAAATGTACGAGGTAGATAAAAGTAGATCGACGTTTTTTCCTTCTTGCAGAGACTCGAAATAAGTTTCCCCTTTGTGTTGCCTTCATATGAGTTCACAAAAATAGTGATCAGGCCAGATTCTTTACCTTGTGTAATTGTGTCTTTTTTGAAGATGTCTAAAAAACATCCTCTTTTTCTAAATTATATTTATTAGAATGTTTTTGGAAGGAATCCAGGCCTTCTTCAGATGACACATAATGCCATATGAAGTGATTCCATTCTCTACCCATTTTTTTAATCTGCCATCTAATTCTGCTGGAAGCAATTCTGACAATAGTGAAGTCAGGCTGCCTTGTAATAATTTTCTAGGCAATGCAGAGCTATCCCTCTCTCCTCTTTGGTTAACTGCAGAGGTAGGAAGTAATGAAGTACAAATCTTAAGTAGAATTTTCAGATATTTGTACTTTACTTGAGTAGTTTTGTTTTTGCCTACACTGCATGCCAATTGGCTAGAATGTAGGTTTAATTTGCATGTAGGCAATCCTTGATTATTGTCCTTTTGTAAAATAAATAAATAAATAAATAAATAAAATACAAAAA